CACTCTCCGGAGGAACCCCGCCTTTCCTCTCCCCCACTCTCCGGAGGAACCCCCGCCTCTCCCTCTCCTCCCCCACTCTCCGGAGGACCACCCCGCCTCTCCCTCTCCCCCACTCTCCGGAGAAACCCCGCCTCTCCCTCCCCCACCCTCCGGAGGAACCCCGCCTTTCCTCTCCCCCCCCCCTCTCCGGAGGAACCCCGCCTTTCCCTCTCCCCCCACTCTCGGAGGAACCCCGCCTTTCCCTCTCCCCCACTCTCCGGAGGAACCCGCCTTTCCCTCCCCCCCACTCTCTCCGGAGGAACCCCGCCTTTCCCTCTCTCCCCCCCACTCTCCAGAGGAAACCCCGCCTTTCCCTCCCCCCACTCTCCGGAGGAACCCCGCCTTTCCCTCTCCCCCACTCTCCGGAGGAACCCCGCCTTTCCCTCCCCCCACTCTCCGGAGGAACCCCGCCTCCGGACTCAGGGTTCTGGGCTCAGGTGTGACCCACAGAACCTGGGCCGGGCCTGAGGCACCGAATCTCAGGATTCAGGCCGGGAGCTGGGCTCAGACGCCTCTGCCCTCAGCGCTGTGGTCACAGACCCACCTCCCAGGGCCTGGAGCCCGAACAGAGCGTCTGAGGGCCAGGACCCGAGCTCCCGGTCACCGGGCTCCGTGCACCTCAAATCCTGACTGTGAAATGCAGGACACCCGAGTCCACCCCTTCACTCCTCATTCACTCCCTCCCTCATTCACTCCCTCCCTCATTCACTCCCTCCCTCATTCACCCACTCCCTCATTCACTCACTCCCTCATTCACTCCCTCCCTCATTCACTCACTCACTCCCTCATTCACTCCCTCACTCATTCACTCCCTCATTCACTCCCTCACTCACTCCTCATTCACTCACTCCCTCATTCATTCACTCCCTCATTCACCCACTCATTCACTCCCTCACTCCCTCACTCATTCACTCACTCCTCATTCACTCACTCCCTCATTCACCCACTCCCTCATTCACCCATTCCCTCATTCACCCACTCATTCACTCCCTCACTCATTCACTCCCTCACTCACTCCTCATTCACTCACTCCCTCATTCATTCACTCCCTCATTCACTCACTCCCTCATTCATTCACTCCCTCACTCATTCACTCACTCCCTCCCTCACTCACTCCCTCATTCACTCACTCCCTCACTCACTCACTCCCTCATTCACTCACTCACTCATTCATTCACTCCCTCATTCACTCCCTCCCTCATTCACCCACTCATTCACTCCTTCATTCACTCACTCATTCACTCACTCATTCATTCACTCACTCATTCACTCCCTCACTCATTCATTCACTCACTCATTCACTCACTCATTCATTCACACACTCATTCCCTCACTCCCCCATTCACTCATTCATCTATTCCCTCATTCATTCACTCACTCACTCATTCATTCACTCACTCCCTCATTCACTCACTCCTCCCTCCCTTATTCATTCCCTCACTCATTCCCTCACTCCCTCATTCATTCCCTCACTCATTCACTCACTTATTCACTCATCATTCACTCACTCCCTCATTCACGCACTCCCTCCCTCCCTCATTCATTCCCTCACTCATTCACTCACTTATTCACTCATCATTCACTCACTCCCTCATTCATTCCCTCACTCATTCCCTCACTCCCTCATTCATTCCCTCACTCATTCACTCATTCACTCACCATTCCCTCATTCATTCACTCACTCCTCCCTCCCTCATTCATTCACTCACTCATTCATTCATTCAGCAATCAGCAGGTTTCTAGGTGCACACTGACACAGAGCCAGTGTGAAGCCCTCGGAGGTGGGAAGTGAAGGCGCCCCCTCCCTGCCCATCTCGGTAATAGATGTCCCGGCAGGGGGGTGGGAAGAGAGGGGCACCCCCCCCCCCCGCCCACCTCGGTAGTAGATGTCCCGGGAGGGGGGTGGGAAGTGGGGTCCCCCACCCACCTCGGTAGTAGATGTCCCGGGAGGGGGGTGGGAAGAGAGGGGCGCCCCCCGGGGTCCCCCCACTCGGTAGTAGATGTCCCGGGAGGGGGGTGGGAAGAGAGGGGCGCCCCCCGGGGTCTCCCCCACCTCGGTAGTAGATGTCCCGGGAGGGGGGTGGGAAGTGGGGTCCCCCACCCACCTCGGTAGTAGATGTGCCGGGAGGTGGGTGGGAAGAGAGGGGCGCCCCCCGGGGTCCCCCCACCTCGGGAGGGGGTGGGAAGTGGGGTGCCCCGCCCACCTCGGTAGTAGATGTCCCGGAAGGGCGAGTTGACGAACTCGCGCGTGTTGCCGGTGCGCGCGGCGATGTCCAGCAGCAGCGGGATGGTGTCGTTGCGGCCGTTGCTGAGGTTCAGCAGGGCCTTGGGCAGGCAGGTCTTCCCCGTGGAGGGCTCTGGGGGACGGGCAGGAATGAGGGGTCCCCCGGCCCGGCTGCTGGGCAGGAGGGGCCCGGGCCCGCCTCGCCTCCTCTCGGGGCCTGTTCCCTCCCCGCTCCCCGCCGAGCTGAGGGGCCTTAAAACGTGAGAAGCCGCCGCCTGTGGAGAGGCTGGTGTTTGGAAAGCAGGTCGGGAGGGAACTTTACAAGGCAAATAGGCGGGGGTGCGGGTTCAGGACTTCTCAGAGCCTTTCGCCTGCTGATGAGGCCGAAGCCTCCAAACCAGACCCAGCAGCCTCCGCCCGCCCGCTGGACACACGGGGTCCTCGCACCTGTGCCCCGGAGGGCGGAGGAGGGCAGGCTCCCAGCGCTGGGCTGCCCCGTGGGTGTGTGGGGCACGGAACTGGGCCCTGGATTTGGGCTTCCACGCCCCAGACCTGGGGCTGGGGGCTGCCAGCCAGGTCCTGGGGGAAGATGCCAAGAGCAGTGCCTTCCCAGAAACGCAGTTCCAGGATTGACCACCAGGTGGCGAAGTGACCGCCCGCCCGGCTGCTGGAGCGGGCCCTGCAGCGGGAGGCGCTGGTGGGAGGGGGCGGTCACAGTGACCTCCTGAGCCTCCGGCTGGAACAACACGCAGGGCGGCCCCGGGGGCTCGGTGGGGCCCGAGACTCAACAACCTGGGGGTCTTGTTGATGAAAACACACACAGCAGGTGGCTGCCTGGTGGCGGGGCTCACAGACCACCTGCCTGCATCCAGGGAAGGCCGGCAGCAGAGGCAGCTGGGCCCCGGGGTGTTTTGAGCCTGGACACGGCTGGAGGGCGAGCTCCCGGGCTGGGGGTTTGGGGTGGGGTGGGGGGGGGAGGCTGGGGCAGTGGAGACGGGAGGGACGCTGGGAAGCTGGGGGGTACGAGGCGGGGGGGGGGGGGAGGGGAGAGACAGTGTCTGGGAGCACAAGCGGACCAGACCTGGTGCCCTGCCCCAGCCCAGCAGGCAGGACTGCCAGAATCCCAGGGGCCTGAGCTGAGGCCGGGCCCTGCCTCCCCCTCCCAGCTCACGGGTGAGACACCGGGTCAGGAGGCCACACTCGGCTCCGCGGTGGAGGCGGTCTGCCCCGGAGGGTGGACTCTGCTGGCCTGCCCTTGCTCAGGGAAGGCTGGACGATGAGCAGACAGAGCCAGCGGAGGCCCAGAGAGGGTAAGCCACATAGCCAAAGACACCCAGGGCCGGACTCCCTGCCCAGGCTCCTTCAGCCAGTGCAGCCTCCGGACCAGGGAGGAGGCGGGGGCACAGGAGCCCCCGTGCCTCCCGCTCTGGCTGGCCTGCCCGCCACCCCAGCCCCCCGGAGGCTCACCCCGGAACTCCTCGTCCGTCAGGCGCTTCTTGTGGGTGAGCAGGTAGGGGAGCAGCCCGTCCAGGCCCGCCGTGGAGCCCCGGGACACGATGTCGAACAGGATGGGCCGGTTGAAGACCTTGAGGACGGGGGGCGGCTGGGGCGCCGGAGCCTTGGGGCTCTGCGGCTGCTTCCTGCGGGGGGGGGGGGGGGGCAGTGACCAGAGGGTTCGTCCCCTGCCCACCCCCAGCCCCGGGGTCAGCCAGAGCCCGGGGACAGGCCAGACGGAGGGGGCAGGGTCAGCTGTTTTATCCAACGCACTGCACCCAGGACTCCTGTGTTTGTGTGGAGAGACAGCCAGATGGAAACAAACACACAGCCCGCACCTCTGTCCGTCCGTCCGTCCCTCCCGTCTGTCGTTTACTGAACACGCACTAAGCAGAGGCTGAGGAGGCAGGCAGTGAGAGCACGGAGGAGGAACGCCGGGCTGAAAGGCGAAGAACTCATTCATTTATTCGACGCTCATCACGAGCCCTCGTTCACAAACGGCCAGTGAGGCCCCGCACAGTGAACGGGAGCAGAGACGGGTATTCAGCGCCTACTGTGTGCCGGGTGCACACTGAGGTCGGAAAGACAGGCAGGGGCGCGAGGGAGGGGAGGGGGGCGCGGGCTGTGCCATGCCAGCGGAGGTGGGCAGAGGGGGAGACGAGGCCGGGGCGGGCTGTGGCAGTGGCCAGGGGGCAGCAGAGCCCTGGCCAGGGACGGGGAAGAGGTGGAACACAGCCTGGAACTGCCCCTCCTGGCCCTGCACAGCCCGTTCTATCTATCTGCTCCTGGACTTTGACCTTTGAGCCAACATATGAAATGAAAAGAACACCCTCGACCCCAGACCTCACTGAGGCGGCCTTCGGGGTCTGAGGACAGCGGCCCAGCCACCCCCCAGCTCTCTAAGGGCTGGAAGGAGGGCCTGAGGGGGGAGACACGGGGCCCCCGCTTCCAGCAGGCCTCAGGGGAGGGGGCGCAGGCTCGCTGCCCTGGGTGCTCGCTCCTCTGAGCAGAGGCTGAGCAGACGCCTGGAGCCCAGCTCCCTAGACCGGCAGGGCGCCCAGCGCTGCCCTCGCCCCTGCGCTGCCCTCCACCTGGACACACCGTGCGGCTGCCCTTCCTCACCCCAGCTCTGGGCCTGAATGTCAGCTCCTCCAGGAAGCCCTCCCGGCGCCTTTCCTGTATCAGCTCTGGTCTCCGCCCTCAGCCCTCCGCCACCTCCATCCATGCGTTCACTGACGTGCTTACTGCCTGCCTCGCCCTCCACAGGGAAGGGCCACCTGAGTGGGGGTGCATCCGGTCTAGCTCAGCCCGGACCCCCGGGCCCGCCCCACGGCCTGGCCCATGGCCGGGCTTGAGAAACAGTAACTGAGTGAATCAGTGACCACAGGCCGCATCCAGGGTGTAAATGAGCCTGATCAGCGAGGAGGACAGAGGACACCTCCGCCTTCACCTGTCCTCCGGGACACACCGGCCGGAGAGGGGTGTCTAGGGGTTGTCATGGGGAGAAGCTGGACCAATAGATGACAGGACCAATAGACGTACAGATAGATATTCAAAGGAGTGATGATGGATGGGTGGGTGGACGGACAGACGGTGGATGGACAGGTGGACAGGTGGGTAGTTGGGGAATAGGTGAGTAGCTGATGAAGGGAAAGTCGAGGAAAGAAACGGCTGGTGTCCAAGTCTGGGCCATCGGGCATGTGAGGGGCACCGGGGTCGGGACCTGGACGGGGTCACAAACGGCGCTGGCTCTGCAGGCGCAGAGGCTGGGGGAGGGGACGGCAGGGAGGGGCTGCAGCAAGGGGCTGGAGCCAGGCCTGGCAGGGAATGCAGCATTGGGATGGCCGTGCGTTAACCCACCCAGGGCTTCTCTCCCCTCTCCTCTCCTTCAGCCAGGCTTCCTTCATGGAGAGAAAGGGTTAACACTTTAGCGTCTGACCTCTCCCCAGGAGGTGCCCAGGAATGAGGGTGGCACTTGGAGGAGACCCAGGAGGGGCTGCTGGGATTGTGTCAACAGAAGATGGGTGGATGAATGGATGAGAAAATGAACAAAAATATAAATGAGTCAGTGACTGAGCAAATGAATGAACAAGTGGATGGACAGATAGGTGGATGAATGAATTGGTGGAAGGAAGGAAGGAAGGGAGGGGTGGGTGGGAAGAGGGAGGGGGAGAAAATTAGAAATGGAATGAATGAATGATGAATATAGTTTAATGGGTAGCTGACTGGTTGGATGAATAGAAACAGTGGGTAAGTAAAGGAATGAATAGGTGGGTGAGTAAGTGGTGGATGAATGGAAGGTTGACATGAGTGGAGGGCTGGACAAGTAGATGACAGATAAATAGATGGGTTCATAGATATTTGAATGATGATGGACAGATGGATTGGACAAGTGGATTGACAGGTGGAAAGACAGATAGCTGGGTGAATGAATGAGTAGAGGATAGATGGATGAGTGGATGGATGGGTGGGTGAACAAACAAGTGTATGGAAGGATGGACAGGTGGGTGGATGAATGGAAGGATAAATGGATGGATGGATGGATGGATGGACGGACGGACAGGTGGGTGGATGGATGGAAGAATAGCTGAGTGGGTGGATGGATGGGTAGATGGATAAATGGAAGGATGGGCAGGTGGATGGATGGATGAACAGGTGGGTGGGTGGATGGGTGGACAGGTAGGTGGATGGATAAATGGAAGGATAGACAGGTAGGTGGATGGATGGATGGGTGGGTGGGTGGGTGGATGGGTGGATGGATGGACAGGTAGGTGGATGGATGGACAGTTGGGTAGATGGATAAATAGATGGATGGACAGGTGGGTGGACGGATGGGTGGATGGATAAATGGATGGACAGGTGGGGGGACAGATGGGTGGATGGATAAATGGAAGGATGGACAGGTGGATGAATGGATGGGTGGATGGATGGACAGGTAGATGGATGGATAAATGGAAGGATGGACAGGGGGATGGATTGGTGGATGGATTAATGGATGGATGGACAGGTGAGTGGATGGATGGATGGATGGACATGTGGGTGGACGGATGGGTGGATGGATAAATGGAAGGATAGACAGGTAGGTGGATGGATGGATGGGTGAGTGGGTGTATGGATGGATGGATGGATGGACAGGTAGGTGGATGGATGGACAGTTGGGTAGATGGATAAATAGATGGATGGACAGGTGGGTGGATGGATGGGTGGATGGATAAATGGACAGGTGGATGAATGGATGGGTGGATGGATGGACGTAGATGGATGGATAAATGGAAGGATGGATGGGGGGATGGATGGGTGGATGGATTAATGGATGGATGGACAGGTGAGTGGATGGATGGATGGATGGATGGACATGTGGGTGGGTGGATGAGTGGACAGGTAGGTGGATGGATAAATGGAAGGATAGACAGGTGGGTGGATGGATGGATGGATGGGTGAGTGGGTGTATGGATGGATGGATGGATGGACAGGTAGGTGGATGGATGGACAGTTGGGTAGATGGATAAATAAATGGATGGACAGGTGGATGAATGGATGGATGGATGGATGGACAGGTAGATGGATGGATAAATGGAAGGATGGACAGGGGGTGGATGGGTGGATGGATTAATGGGTGGATGGACAGGTGAGTGGATGGACGGATGGATGGATGGATGGACAGGTGGGTGGGTGGATGAGTGGAAGGAAGGACAGGTGGATGAATGGATGGGTGGATGGATGGACAGGCGGTGGGTGGATGGATGGATGGACATGTGGGTGGGTGGATGAGTGACAGGTAGGTGAGTGGATGGACAGATGGATGGATGGTTGGATGGATGGACAGGTGGGTGGGTGGGTGAGTACAGGTAGGTCAGTGGATGGACAGATGGATGGATGGATGGATGGGTGGATGGACAGGTGGGTGGGTGGGTGAGTACAGGTAGGCGGGTGGGCAAATGGAAGGAAGGGCAGGTGGATGAATGGATGGGTGGATGGATGGACAGGTAGATGGATGAATAAATGGAAGGAAGGGCAGGTGGTGGGTGGGCGGTACAGAGCTGAGACCACGCCCGGAGCCAGCAATACTCACTCGAGCGCCCTCCTCCTCCAGCGCTTGTTGTCGCTGGGGTGGTGGCGGTAGGTGCCGTAGTCGAAGAGCGAGTCCATGGGCGCCTTCTTGGGCCCGGGCGCCACCGCGGACTCGTACAGCGTGGACTCCAGCAGGTCGATGGGGTTGGGCACCCCCTTGCGGAAGGCGCCCTGGAACTTCATGCGCAGGTTTGGCCGCCCGTCCCCGGTGCCCGCCGGGCGCGCGGCCGCGGGCGGCGAGGGCGACGGCGAGCCCTCCTCGCCCTCGAACAGGTTGGCCAGCGAGGACAGCGGGAAGGCCTCGTCCCCGGGGGGCTCGGCCGCCTCCCCCGGCCCCGCCCGGGGGCCCTCGCCGGGCTCCGCCATGTGGCCCGGCGTCCTCGCCTCCGCGCCGGCCTGCAAGGGAGCGGGCGTGGGCTCAGGAAGGACCCTCCCACGTGGGCAAACAGCCGCCGCCGCGGCCTCAGAGCCTCCGCTGTAACGACAGGGTGCGGCTCCCCAGCCCCGGCCCAGCCGCCCGGAGCCTCCAGGGCCCGGGACCCACACGGCTGGCTCTGGCTCGGGGCCGCTCCCCGGCGGAGCCGCAGGAGGAAGGGCTCAGACGCCCCGGACCCCACACCTGGGGCCGAGGCTCCCTCCCCCCCAGCCCGCCAGCCGCGGAGCCGCAGGAGCAGGCTCAGAGCCGGCCGGCCGTGCTGACCGGGCAGGGCCACATGGCACTCCACGCCGGGCTGTCACCGGCCACCGGGGTGTCCCAGGGCAGGGCCCTGCCTCCCCGCGCCGGCACCAGGCCAGGAGCCCGCGGGAGCCGCGGGAGCCGCGGGAGCCGCGGGAGCCGTGGCCCGTTTCCTCCCAGCACCACCGCTCTGGCCCATTTTCCAGAATCAGAAAGAAATCGAGGTTCCCGGCTGTGGCTGGCCTCCCCAGGCACAAACTCTGCTCCTGTGCAGCATATCCCTCTTTGCCTGGTACCCCCACCCCCCTCCCCTCCCCCCTCCCCCTCCACTCCCCCTCCCCCCTCCATTCCCCCCATCCTCCTCCACTCCCCCCATCCCCTCCCCCCATCCCCCTCCACTCCCCCATCCCCCTCCACAACCCCCATCCCCCTCCACTCCCCCCATCCTCCACCCCCCCATCCTCCTCCACTTCCCCTCATCCCCCCCCGCTGTGCCCCAGCCCGACTGCCCCTTCCCCTGGGACGCCCTCCCTGCGAACAGACGGCCTGTGAGAAGGTGTCCTGGTCCCATGTCTCAGGTGAGGAGGGCTCCGAGGGGCAGGCACAGGCATCAGTGCAGAGAGCACGTCCGGCCCCCGTGGAGGCGGCGGGCGGGGGTGCAGAGGCGGGGGAGGGGGGTGAGGCGCACGGCGCAGGCGGTGATCAGGGCGGGTGGGGACAGGCTATCCCGGCCGCGTTGGGCGATGCCCAGGCAGTGCGCTGCGCTGCCGAACAGCACAGACTGTGCGGTGTCAGTGGCACTAGTTCCACCAGGCGGCCACGCCGTACGTTACATAAATGTCTGTCCCTGGGCTGTACAGTGGAAAGTAATATATTTGCCAACGGAAATCAAAACTAGCCCAGCCGGTCTGGCTCAGTGGAGAGTGTCCGCCTGCAGGCCAGAGCGCTTCAGTTCCGGTTGCAGGCACATCCCCAGTGGGGGGCGTGCAGGAGGCAGCGGATGGATGTTTCTCTCACTGATGTTTCTGACTCTCTATCCCTCTCCCTTCCTCTCTGTAAGAAATCAATAAAATATATATTTTTTAAAACAGCCCTAGCCCAGTGGTTGGCAAACTCATTAGTTGACAGAGTCAAATATCAACAGTACAACTGAAATTTATTTTGAAAGTTGAAAACTGTCTTCTGCGCATGGGCCATAACGTTTCAATCACACTGTGTGCGCACTCTGCACATGGTATTTTGTGGAAGAGCCACACTCCAGGGGCCAAAGAGCCGCGTGTGGCTCGCGAGCCGCAGTTTGCCGGCCACGGCCCTCGCCGGGTTGGCTCCGGGTCGGCCTGCAGACCAAAGGGTCCCGGCGTCTATTCCGGTCGAGGGCATGGACCTCGGCTGCAGGCTCTGCCCGGCCCAGGCCCTGGTCAGGGCACACGCAGGAGGCAACCAATCGATGAGTTTCTCTCACATGGATGTTTCTCTCTGTCTTTCCCTCTTTCTCTAAAAACCAATGGAAAAACATCCTGAGGATTAACAAAAAATAATAAATTAGTATTTTAATATTAAAAAAAATAAAAGTGAACAGCAGGGGCCGTCAGCGCCGGGAGGGAGATGAGCTGGACTTGCACCCGCGTCTCTGGCTCCCGCCCACGCTGCACGGGGGCCAGGCTGGCACCGAGGCCGGTTTCCTGGAACTCCCACGCCCGCCCAGCAACGGGGAGACGAACAGTCCTCCTCTGTCCGCCCGCCCAGCACCAGCAGAGGAGCAACGGACTGGTCCCCACCTTGTTTGCTCTGCGGCTGCGAGAGGTGGGGACGGCAAGAGGCCTCTCTTAAAAAAAAAAAAAAAAAAAAAAATTAATTTCAGAAAGGGAGAGAAACATCAACAATGAGAGAGAATCACTGATCGGCTGCCTCCTACACGCCCCACACTGGGGATCAACCCCGCAACCCAGCTATGTGCCCATGACCTAAATGAAACCCAGGACCCTTCAGTTCACAGGCAGACACTCTATCCACTGAGCCACACCAGCCAGGGCTCAAGAGAGCTCTCTTGGCAGGCGCAGGGGGCACAGATGCCAGCACTCCTGCCGGGACTGGCCCCGCTCCCCATCCTCCCCCAGCCCCAGGCTCCACGGCGGAAGGAGCCCGGACTGTAGAGTCACTCAGGCCTGGGCTGCAGCCGGCTCCGCGGCCCCTGCACCGAGCACCGCAGCCTCCCTCCTCGCCTGGGAAGTGGGTTCAGTGCAGGAGCTTTGCCGTGGGTTTGCAGGAAGAGCTCGGTGAGACCAGGCAGGTGCAGGGCCAGCTACAGTGAGAGGAGGGAGGGCGAGGAGCACGGTTCTGACAGCAGATACAGTGGCTCCTGGCCCGGCCCTGTGACTAGCGGCTGTGATCCTGGCAAATCCCTTCCTCTCGGTTTCCCCACCTGTGAAACGGCACCACTCCTCCTCGGCCAGTGACCTCAGGAATGTGAAGCGCCCACTCAGTGCTGGCACCTAGTAGGACCTCAGCAGACAGCAGTTCCCGTCCCACAGCCAGGGGGGCGCCGGAGACTTGGGTCCGTGTCCCCCAGCAGCTGCCACATGGCTTCCGGCTTCGCTCTGTGGGGACAGATGCCAATGCTGAGGCAGGAAGGAGTGTCTGCTGGGGGTACCCGCATTGAGGGGAGAAATTAAACACCCCAGAAGCATCCCTGTCCCCTCACTGGGGCCCCCAAAGTCAGGAAGAGAAGAGGCATTGGGTACATGACCACACTCCTTTCCAAGATTCCTTTCCCTCATGGACACCCCCTCAGGGAGCCCCCAGGGACAGAGGTGGCTGGGAGGGCCCCTTCAGACCCCCCGCCATGATGCCACCCTCCTCTCAGGAACCCGACCCCGACAGCACCAGGGTTCTCGGGCGCCACAGCTGTGTGTGGAGTCAGCAGCCCGGGGCCCAGCCCCTGCGGCCGCTCACTGGCCTTGGGCGAGGCACAGCGATCAGATGAGCGTTTAATGATGACGAGATCGTAATCATGAGCCAACCCTCCCTCACTCTCAGCGTTCTGCTGCTCTCACCCAGGCCCGGGTCGGCCTCTGCCTCCCCACGCGCACGCTCACCGGTCCTCACCGCACCCCGAGCCCAGCGGCTCCCCGTCTGTCCCCCGGGCCCCGGGCGAGATCGGGGACACAAGGTACGGCAGAGAGGCCACCGGCGGCTCAACAGCCCAAGGACAGTCCCGAACCAGGAGGTCTGCAGGGCCGAGGCTGCAGAGCCCTGTCCTGCAGGCAGGCGCCACCGTAGCTCCCATTTCACAGAGGAGGAAACTGAGGCTCAGAGAGGTTATGGGCCTGCAACCACAGAGCAGGTCCACAAGGGCCAGGAATCGCAGAGCCCGGGCCGCCCTGACCGTGTCTGTGCGAGCTGCAAGGCGCCCAGGAGGGTCCCTGCCACAGCCCAGCCGTCTGAGCCCGGTTTCCGGCCGGTACGACGTGGCTGTGACCGCAGCGTCTACCCAGGCAGCTGGGACCGGGGCTGGTCGGTGTCTCCGGCCCTTACTAATCATCTGAAACACGCTTTAGCTCTAGCTGGTTGGCTCAGTGGACAGAGCGTCGGCCGGGGACTGAAGGGTCCCGGGTTCAGTTCCCGTGAAGGGCACACACCTTGGTACAGGCACATCCCCCGCCCCATGTGTGCGGGAGGCAACCAGTGTCTCTCATCGATGTTTCTCTCTCCATCTCTCCTCTCCCTTCCACTCCCTCTAAAAACCAACGGGGAAATCTCCTTGGTGGGGATTAAGGAAGAAAACAGCCCCATCACCATTAGGACGGCCCCGTAGACTGTCCTCCCCTCCCCCGCCCCCAGCACACAGACTGGCATTCGCCGCCCTGTGAGTCCCGGAGCCGGCGCAGAGCGGCCGCTGCTCCGTTAGAGCTGAGGAAACTGAGGCTCCGAGAGGCCGGCAGCGAACCTAACCCTGAATCCTAACCCTGGATTCCCTCCACACCGCACCGCCCAGGCGTGTACACACCGACGCTCGCACACACACACACACACACACACACACGCACACACGCACGTACACAGACACACACGCACAAACACGCCTGCTCTGCTGCTCTGGCAGGGCCCTCCCCCAACACTAGCCTGTTCTCTGCGGTCAGGACAGGGCTCCCTCCCTGTTCTCATTTGCCCTGAAGCCTGTGATTACACATTCCAGGCCCGTGCCAGCCGCTGGGGGGTGGCGGGGGGCAGTCCTAGTGGGGTTCCTCCAGGAACAGCCTGGCTAACTCGTGGCACCAGGCAGGCATCTGGGGCTCCACCGAGGACCGAGTGAGGGCAAAGGGGTACGGCCAGCCCAGCACCCCGAGGGGATGGTACTGAGCGCACCCGGCCCCGCCACCGTCACTCACGGCCTGTCAGACGGCCAATGTGTTTGTTGTCGGCGTCCAAACCCTTTGTTTGAACATAAACACTAGCTTGTCGTCCACACACGGGGAGGGGGGGGCTGGCGGCGGGCGGGAGGAGCGGAAGCAGATCTGAACCGAGGAGCCGAGGAGCAGGCCTAGGAGCCATTGACCTGTTCCTTCCTTCATGGTTCACTCAGCAAACACTGACTGAGCGCCTACTGTGCGCCTACTGTGCGCCTACTGAGCGCCTACTGAGCGCCAGGTGCCAGGACACAGCTGTGAGGGAGACAGAGCCCTGCCCTCCGGGCTGCTGGCAGACGGGGCAGAGCTCCCGG